ATATACCCCTGATCTCCAAACAGCTACTCATGGTGGGTAGTAGAGCAACCAGGAAGTTTACTCAAATAGTCATACTCTCACAAGAATATTACTTAAGTAAAAGTATAAATAAGTAATGCTACTCCTTTTCTTTTTTTTAAATTAGTAAATTAACGTAACTAGTTGCTACCCAGTTCCGTCTGTCTCACTTAATACGCATGTCTAAGTTTGTGTTGTTACTTGCTGGTTATTTTTACTAAAGTTTTCCATTTTGATATTTGTATGACTCATTCCACTTTATTTTTGTTGGATTAAACAAGAATACTTTTTTGCTTTAACCTGTGCCTGCCTTGCTGCTTGGTCCTTTAAATATAAAATCCAATTTTCCTCAACGTAGCATGAGAAGTGATTTTGAGTGAGTACTTCGGGTTCCAACTGTAACTTCAACTGCTCGGAAAAGGATTCACATGTTTGATAGAGAGTATTAGCGAGCAAATAGCATAATAAAGATCAGGAACCACAGCAGACAGGTCTGAGATAAAGTCGTAAAGTTTTAAACAACACTATAAAACAATTTTATATAGTGGTACCTAGATAGTGGAATGTATTGCCTTCTTTGCAATGTCTTGGTATTTTACATTATTTTAAGAAGCAGTGGAAGACCGATCTATTCACTCTGACTTTTAACTTGTTTTATGCTTAATAGTGTTACATGTGTCTTTTTTTTCTTTTATGCTTCTTATCACCTTTGTTTTACGTTTGTATTTATTGTAGAGAGTTTTGCGGGTTGTGACCCATGAAAGGTGCTCTCTTAAGTTTACTTAATTAAAATAACACTATTATGAAATTGAAAAAGTAAAAGCAAAAATATAAATGCCCAATCCAAATGTCTGTTTTCCTAAACTGGGAGGTGTTTCCCAAAGAAACAGCCAAGAGACTCATAGCAACTCTGGGTTAACAGTAGGGCTGAAACAATTATTTGGATTGATCGTGATTAATCGATTATTGAAATAATGGTTAACTAATTTAGTTATCGATTAATCCTTAACTTGAGCAAAGAGACGACTAAAACATGCCTTTAGGTGACAGAAAACCCTGCTTTTAGCAGCAAATATACCAAAAATGGTGAAGAAAATATGTAAACACTTTGCATGTAAGATATAAATCGTTTTCTTCTGTCAATATACTCTAAAGTACTCCTAAAGTGGAAAAGATTTTGTTTCACCTGGTTCAATTTCACAAAAAGCCTTTGGCTATCTGATTATTTATTGATTATTTGAAAAAATTATTGACAGATTAATTGATTTGCAAAACAATCGTTAGTTGCAGCGCTGGTTAACAGGTGTCCACAGGTCTGTTGGTACTCAGCTATTTTAGGACACTGGATGTGGGAAAGGGTTCTCTGCTCTTATGTGGCCAATCTTGAACCGTTTGGCTTAGGGATGTGGCTGCCAAACACTTAACACTATAGATCAGCTTAAACACCATCTCTTTTGGGAGACATAGTGGTTGGAGCATCATGCTGTGGAGAAGCTCATTTAGAAGATGACTTGAGCTAATTTCATGGCCCTAGTGTAGGAAAATACTTGAGATTGGAGTAAAGGTTATTCTTACCACAAGTCAGCGACAATAAAAACCAACTGGAGATATAATGGAGTAGATTAAATCAAAGCATGATAGTGTGTTATATTGGGCTTGTCAAAGTCCAAATCTAAATCTAAATGATAATCTGGTGTCAGCCTTGAAAAATTATGCCCAGGTGATCTCGATCCTATCTGTCTGAGCAAAACGGTAATGTGCAAAATATCACCCCATTTAAAAAGCTGGCGTAGATATAACCCGAAGTACCTACATCTTGAAACTGTAGTAAAAGGCTGTTCTAGAAAGTACTGACTTCTAAACAATTGAAAGGCTGTTAATCCTTGTATTTCCACTTCATTATGTCTTACTCTTTGTAGATGTCTAAGTTTATCACATAAAACCTTAAACTATACATTGAGGTTTCAGGTTGTACCTGGACAAAAATGTGAAAAAAAGTTTGGAAGGTACAGTATGAATCTGATTATAAGGTACTCTACATGACTAACATGCTTTCCAACAATGTTTCGTCTCATGTCCAGCCCATATGGCTATGATAAGATGATGTGTTATTGCTGTCTCACAGTGTTTGGATGAGATATAGAGGAACTGTGCAATCAGCTGAGAGTTCACTGCACAGGGCCCCTGGGAAGCTTCCCATGCTGAGTGTAGACATATAAGCTGGAATGCTTTGGAAATGAGTCCACCAGAACTCTGAGAAGTTTGGCTGAAGGCCCACACTCTAAGTTGCTGCTGGAGAACTAGTTTCATGACTATGCTTGTTCTTAAGAAAATAATAACCAAACCTCAGGCACAGACAAATGCTTCTCATTCAAACTGTTTTGCTCTGGCTGTGGTTTACAGAGTTAAAACAATCCAGAGTAATTCAGTCACATTCAACAAGATATCTGTTTCAGAGAATGTGAAAACCTAATGTTTTAAAACAGATGGAGAAATACGTTCGTTCCAAAGGGAGTGTCCATTTCTAGTTTCTGAACTCCATGAACGGAGCAGTGTGATACAGAATGATTGCTCTGCAGGCTGCTAAAGATTTGGCCTCTGACATTTATTTTTCCATTCCTTCTAAGAAACACATGTGAAACTTGTCAAAATGACCTAAAAACCTGAGTTGTGCAAAAACAGCTGTTTGAAGATATGTACATATATATATATATATATATATATATATATATATATATATATATATATATATATATATATATATATATATATAAGTGGAGGCCACTGACATTTTCTCCCCTCCTCATCTTTTTCACCAGTTTTGCATTTGGCTAGGGTCGCTGTCAATACTGTTAGCATGAGGCGCTACCTGGACCCTACAGAGGTTGCACAGGCAGTCCAACTCCTCCAGGGTGGCACATCAATACATGCCATTGCCAGAAGGTTTGTTGTGTCTCCCAGCTTATTCTTAAGAGCATGGAGGAGATTCCAGGAGACAGGCAGTTACTCTAGGAGAGGGCCGTAGAAGGTCTACAACCCATCAGCAGGAGCGGTAGCAGGAGGAGCACTGCCAGAGCCCTACAAAATGACCCCCAGCAGCCCACCGGTGTGAATGTCTCTGACCAAACAATCAGAAACAGACTTCATGAGGGTGGCCTGAGGGCCCAATGTCCTCTAGTGGGCCCTGTGCTCACTGCCCGGCACCGTGGAGCTTGATTGGCATTTGCTACAGAACACGGGAATTGGCAAGTCTGCCACTTGCGCCCTGTGCTTTTCACAGATGAGAGCAGGTTCACCCTGAGCACGTGTTACAGACGTGAAAGGGTCTGGAGAAGCTGTGGAGACAATTATGCTGCCTCTAACATCGTTCAGCATGACCGGTTTGGTGGTGGGTCAGAGATGGTCTGGGGAGGCATATCCATGGAGGGAAGCACAGACCTATACAGGCTAGACAACGGCACCCTGACTGCCATTAGGTATCCGGATGAAATCCTTGCACCTATTGTCAGACCCTATGCTGGTGCAGTGGGTCCTGGGTTCCTCCTGGTGCACGATATTGCCCGGCCTCATGTGGCCAGAGTATGCAGGCAGTTCCTGGAGGATGAAGGAATTGATACCATTGATTGGCCCCCACACTCGCCTGACCTAAATCCAATAGAACACCTCTGGGACATTATGTTTCGATCCATCCGATGCCGCCAGGTTGCACCTCAGACTGTCCAGGAGCTCAGTGATGCCCTGGTAAAGATCTGGGAGGAGATACCCCGGGACGCCATCCGTCGTCTCATTAGGAGCATGCCCCGACGTTGTCAGGCATGCAGACACGCTTGTGGGGGCCATACAAATTACTGAAAACCATTTTGAGTTGCTGCAATGAAATTTCAGCAAAATGGACTAGCCTGCCTCATCATTTTTTTCAATGTAATTTTTGGGGTGTCTTTGATTTCAGCCCTCTGTAGGTTGATAATTTTCATTTCCATCAAATGATGTGGCATCCTTTTGTTCCTAACACATCACCCAGTCCATATCAGTATAAATAAACAGTGTGATTTTTTTGCCCCATTGAGATCTGATGTGTTTTCAAAGTCTTCCTTTAATTTTTTTGAGCTGTGTATATACAGTATAGGTTAAATGTAGAAATTGAGAACAAAGTCTAACAGTGGTAAAATTCCTTGACCTACTTACTCTTGACGGTGATCGGAAAAGATAAAGTTGAGTCCTATTTTTTACTCTGATTGTTTTAAATCTTTATGGCTATAGCACCTAAAATTGAATGTTCTCCTGTTATTCCTTAAAATACTTAAAATAATAATTTCTTATACTGTTGCCATTGCAACAAAATACAGTATGACTTTACTTTGAAAGTGTTACTGTGCTAAAAATATATGTAAAACTAAATACATTTTATACATCATAAAATGGTCCAGAAAAGTCTACTTTAATACTTAAATACTAATTTAAGTATTAAATTAGTATTAAATACTTAAATACTAATTTAAGTAAGTAATCCTGTTATTCCTTAAAATACTTAAAATAATAATTTCTTATACTGTTGCCATTGCAACAAAATACAGTATGACTTTACTTTGAAAGTGTTACTGTGCTAAAAATATATGTAAAACTAAATACATTTTATACATCATAAAATGGTCCAGAAAAGTCTATTTTGGAGGGATATCTTTATATAATAATTTTTCACAGGAGTATTTAGTGTCTGCATTTAAATAGCCTCCACCTGTTCGAACATGCACGCCATTTTTTTCAGTGTTTTGTACTATTGCCTTTAAGGAAAGGAGAATAGTTTGTATTCAGAATTGGTGGTTAATGACATATGTGGGGTGGTTGTTTCTACAAGTTTTAATTTTTTTAAGCTGGAGGGGGTTGTCTCCCCCTATCAGACATGGCTTGCTGTGCACATTGGGATGTCTGAGTCATTTCGACTTGCCACGCTGTCATGTTTTGTTTTGTTTTTCTTTCTGCAGAGAGGATTCTTTTCTCTGCCAGAGGGGCATTTTTTCATTGAACCTGTTCAGAAATCGCTCAGTGATCCTGCAGGGGTTCCAGAGCCGCACGTTGTCTATCCAAGATCCACAAAAGAAAACCAAAGAAGAAAGCGCAGCCTTGAGGCCAAACAGACTCCAGGCTCCTGCGGAGTTCAAGGTGTGTCCTTCACTCAGTTTTAGAACATACAGCTCCAGGTGTGTGGGAAATTATTTTTTTTCTCTGCCTACACCTGATTCAACTATGATTGTATGCTAAAGCTATGTGTTTAAATATTCACGTTTAGATGCTTCAAGTGACTCTCTCCAGGTGGAAAAAGATAGGGAGGAATGGGAGAGGGAGCAGCAGAGGGAGGGGGCTCAGTCCCGTTCGCAGCGCTCAGTCAGCCGAGAGCGATGGGTGGAGACCATGGTGGTGGCCGACTCCAAACTCATTGAATATCATGGCAGTGAAAATGTTGAGTCCTACATATTTACCATCATGAACATGGTGAGGACCTTTTTTATTTTGATTATATGATTGCTCCACACATGATTGCACATGCTCTTTTTTAACATTATTTTTATGCTGACAGGTTGCTGGAATATTTCATGATGCCAGTATTGGAAATGCTATTCATGTCATCCTAGTGCGCCTCATTCTGCTACAAGGAGATGAGGTAACAGTTATCCAAAGTTTTTAATATCCAAAGGATTTATAACTCATCTGTGGAAACTTGATAGTAACTGCTGCATACATAGCACTTGAAAGGCGAGAGAATAGATGAAAAGCTGCTGAAATAACCCCTCCATAATAACACAATGGAACAGGCCCATTTAATACAGGCCCATTAAGAGTTTGGTGAATTTTTTTCCATCTAACTATCTGCTTTAAGTGCTCCATATTTATACATGTGATATTTGGACAAAATGTTTTTTTCCTAGCATGCCTCGCCTGCATGTTCATGCATACAAATTGGTTTGTATGTAAATGGTAGTAATGGAGACATGTTGACTCCAAAATGACATTATTTCACTGCAGGTTATTTTAACTTTATTTTAGACTTTTAAGTACATTATTATTTGTCTCTGGTAGAAAACTGATCTTGAAGCCTCCTCTCTATCATGTTCCAGCAAAATAGAAATTTGTTGATCACTTGGTAAAGTTTGTAGATACTCTGATCAGTTACAAAATTAAGGTTGAAAAGACAAAAAATATTAAGTTACCATTAGTTAAACTGAAACTATTAGGGAGGGAAATAATGATGTTTTGCTTTCTTGCTTTAAAAACGATCCACCTGCTCATCTTTAATTTGTGTATTACAGCCAACAGATTCATTAATTCACTGTTTCATTATTAGCAATATATATCCCATACTTTACACTGTATAGATTCTAAGGAGGGAAATTGTGTTTCTGTATTTGTAAACGTTATTTTTAGGGCCTATATTATTTTGGATTTTAAATAGCTTAAATAGGCCAATAGAAATTGGACCTTCAGTTTAAGAAACTACTTTTTTTAATTGAAAAACTACTGTTTACACTAAACGTTTTTTGGGGGGGTGAGTATTTCGGGCAAACAGTCAACACTGTGTAAATTATTACAAAAGTACCAAACTAGCACTTAGGGAGTAAACTAATTAAGTCATTTTTTATGAAATAGGTACTTTTATTTAACTCTACCTCTTTCTACTGAACTATTTTGATAGTATCTGCGGAAAAAAAAGCTTTGGGGTTTAAAAATTCAAAGGCAGTCCTGTTATTTCTCCAGAAACATACATGAAATGTTAAATATAACAAGACTGCATTCCTCCTGTTGCAGAAAGGATTGAAAATAGTTCACCATGCAGACACAACTCTGTCCAGTTTCTGCGCATGGCAGAAAAACCTGAATCCACAGAGTGACACTCACCCAGCTCACCATGATCTGGCTGTTCTTATCACAAGGCAAGAGATTTTTCAAACCCAAATTGCTGTCATGAGATATGCATATCAATTTATCACATTTGTTTTCCCTACAAAGAAAAGATATCTGTGCAGGAATGAACCAGCCCTGTGAGACTCTCGGTCTTTCTCATCTGTCTGGGATGTGTCAACCCCACCGCAGCTGCAACATCAATGAGGATTCAGGACTGCCTGTGGCCTTCACTGTTGCTCATGAAATGGGCCACAGGTAGTGCTTTTTCAATTGCTGTAAATTAACTACCTGCTCATTAGAGGAACTAGGGTCATTATGAACAAAATGCTATTGTTAGTGTTATGAGTGTGCCGGACATCGAGGAAAGTAAAAGTACTTGTTGAAAAAAATTTGTTTAGAGAAAAAAAAGCATTTTACTCATTTATCAACTTCATGAAGAAAATGCAATTAGAGTTGAAGAATGATAACAATAGATCAGAGCAAACAAAAATGACATGGAGTTCCTCAGGGAGGTTTTTTCCAGACCACTTTTATTTAACATTCAAATGATTACTGCCTAAGATTGAACAGTACAATATTTCTGTTGATGACCTGCACATTTTATTTCTGTCATAGCTTAACAATAGTCCTCTGGTCTCCTCTGTTCTGAGGTGTGTCTGAGGGGAGCTCATTTAGGTGAGACACACTTCACACCAAGCCCCTCTCCAGGTCATACAGCATCCCAATTCAACCCGTTTAACCATTTTTGTAGTTTTATAGCTGACATACATTTAGCTAGGGGTACAGAAACTAAAAGTTAACATAATGAAGTTGGTGGGATTATACACCCAACAACTAAAAATTTTGACCTATCAATTTGGGACTTTGACAGCCTTGACTTTTGACTACAATATCACTTGAAGAAATATTTCTGAAATTGATAAGCCAAAGTCTATGACTTTGTCTAGCAGTTCCACGGCAAATGTAGTGAAATTACTGTAGAAAACAAAAACAAACAAAAAATATATAAAGCATAACTTAACAGGAAATAGAGAAAACCAAGTGGATTGTGAAAATGACCCAAAGAGAATAAAATGATAGCTACACAGCACATGGAGAAGATTAATTAAATTTTCTGCACTCTTTGAGGCTCCCAAGTCCACAAGCAATGTATTTAAGTGCTGAAAAGTAGATTTTAGGTACATGATCTGTACTTATAGATTCTTTTCAGGTCAGAAAGTCCTAAAGCACTCTACACTACAATCATTCACCCATAGTTTCAGACCCTTGTGGTAGCAAACTACATTGTTGCAACAACTGCCTTGGGGCACACTCACAGAAGCTAGTTTGCTATACCCAGGTGCCACCAGGCCCTCTGGTCATCAGTAGCGATACTGGTGATGAGTCTTGCCCAAGGGCAACACAAAAGGGATGGACAGAGCTGGGGTTTAAACCACAGCACTTCCGTTTCAGGATGATCTCCTACATCATTGCCACTCTTACCCATTTTGCAAAGACCGAAGTTGTTATTGGAGTCTGAACTTTGAGAAAACTCTGGCTCCCATTTGTTAGAGGGAAAGAATAAAAAAATATGTTAATGCCATTCAAGTACTGTTGCAGTGTTGGCCTAAGTACGTCAAAGAGTTCTTAAATTTAAGAGTTACAGAGGTCAGGTTTAAACTATATAGACCCCTCATCTAGGGGGCAGTAGGACGTAAACCAGTACTTTCTTATAATGGTTATGATTATCTGTTCTTTGTAGAAAAAAAAAAATCTTTATTGTCCCAGAATGGAGAAATTCTGGTACTGTTTTAATTGTCATGGTACTTTTGTTTCTTTTTGTTGAATGCTTTTCCAATCATTGAAACGTATTTCTTCTTTTGAATGCATTTCTCCCCTCATTGTTTTCCTTTAAAAGCCCTTCAGATTAACCTGTGCATGAATGGTTCCATACAAATCAGCTGTCTTGCCTTAATCAACCTTTCTAAGAAAACACACTTTAACCTGTCGGCAATGTTTTTCTTAAGTGAGTTAAAAGTTTAAATCCATCTTAGCATAAATACTGTATTTAAGTCATGTTGATTTGTGATTTAATACAGTTTTGGGATTCATCACGACGGCCAAGGGAATGACTGTGAGGTGGGAGGAAAACACCCTTTCATCATGTCAAGGCAACTTTTGTATGACAGTTCACCTCTTACGTGGTCCTCCTGCTCAAAAGAGTACATCACACGCTTCCTCGAGTAAGACTGATTTAGAACATTGTTCTTAAGGTATTGACCATGAAATGATGACTAGATTTCATTCATTTTACTTTCATTTTTCTTCTTCAGGGACATGTGATTTGTCTGAAAAACGTGTTTATGTTTCTTAATCGGTCCAAAGAGCAATCCTAGTAAATAACAACAACCCCCCCTGAAGGTCTAGCACAGATTTTCATTAATAAAGCAACACATACATTCCATATTTTTTGCAGACCTTTATCCCCTCTGGTAAAATTAGACCATTGCTGTGTATGTGTACTGTAGAAAAGGAAAAAAAGCATTGAAGTCAGTGGCTGAAGTCTGAAAGGACACCTCAGTTAGTGTGATGTTACGGTAACCATCAAAATAGGAAATTTAGCCAAGCATACTAACTAGTTATTTTAAAAATATATCTCTCAACATAGCAAAAAAAATAAAAATAACTGCTGCTTCTTTTGAACCAAAAGGTGCTTAACTAAACAGATAATCAGCAGGTCTGCCAGGAATAAAAACAATAACATTATTAACTTTTTTTTTTAAACAAAAAAAGCATCAATACTTCATACTTCTGATAAAATAATAGAACACAATGATAAATGCAGTTATAATAAAAAAAAATCAAATGATAATAATAAAATTAAAATAAAAACCTTAGCAACTCAGGGGCTGCTGACGGGCACTGCTTTGCCTTCTTGCATTCTATGAATAGAAGTTATTTTAGAGCATTTATTGATCCTTTGTGCTCTGGAACAAGATGCATTTGCTGTTGAAAACATTGAGTTTATGACTTCAACACAGGGATCAAAACAAAAACATAACGCAACTACGGCGACCGTCAAAAACTGTGTGTTTCCCACCACAATCAGCATACCTGCTGAGAAGTTACATGTGGCTCCTTTTAAACATATGACACCACCAACTGTGACCTTTGGGTAGTACACCAGACACAAAATAACACAATAATGAATAAGGAAGAAATGAAGAAGAGGGGTAGTGGCCATCTTACCACAGGCTGATGTGTAGACCACTGGGGGAGGTTGATGTGATGCAGGCCTCTGTCACTAATGCCCTTTTACTTCCAGCAATTTCTCTGAAGTTTTCTTAAAAACACTTCAAACTAAATGAAACCTTCTGATGAAAAGATTTTGTGGCATCCAAACCATAATATCAATAAACCTGGATTAACTTGCATTGCCTTTTTTTTCCACTTCAGCCCATTCCTGAGAAAACAGTTGAGCCCCCCCCAAAAAAAGGAAAACTTTGACTGCCTTGTAGCTATGTCATTAGCCAATATATGGATTATTTTGTTCCCCCAAAAAACTGACCTTGCATCCATTTATATTTGCCTTAGCCGTGGCTGGGGTTTCTGTTTAGATGATCGTCCTTCTAAGAGGGATCTGAGCACCCCTCTGGCTCGTCTTGGTGTCCGCTACACCCCCCTTCACCAGTGCCAGCTCCAGTATGGTCCAAATGCTACTTTCTGTTCTGAGGTTGATGTAAGTGTTGCTCAAATAAAAAAAAAAAAAAAAAGAAATCAGTAAAACTCTTCTGGACTGAGACCTCAGTTGTTGACTTTATGTTACAGAACGTTTGCCAAATTCTTTGGTGTTCAGTGAATGGTACTTGTCGATCAAAGTTGGACTCACCTATAGACGGTACACGCTGTGGACCAGATAAGGTAAACAAGCTTTTCCATATTAAGGCTTTGATTTCAGATGAAAGGGATATTTAGTGCTTTTTCCTTCTCACACTTAGTGGTGTATTTCTGGAGAATGTGTAATTGTCGGTAAACTCCCAGAGACAGTGAATGGAGGCTGGGGACCATGGGGTACATGGTCCCACTGCTCCAGGACCTGTGGAACTGGAGTTCAGTCTGCAGACAGGGAATGCAACAATCCCAAGTAAGAAATTAAAATTGACCTCTTTTTTTTCTCTTTAAACCTTGGTTGGAGGGTTGATTGAAGATGTCCTGTCATCCAACAGGCCAGAGTTTGGAGGCAAGTATTGCACTGGAGAAAGGAAGCGTTATCGGACATGTAACACCAAACCTTGTCAGAATGAGAAACCGTCCTTCAGAGAAATGCTCTGCAGTGAATTTGACACAGTGCCTTACCACAATGAGCTCTACCAGTGGATCCCAGTTTATAACCCACGTAAGTGATGAAACCCTTAAAGATACAATTTATTTATTTTCTGCTACAAAACATAAAGCAATGATGGATGCAGTTTTTTATATTAATCAATAGGGGGCAGCATTACCTCTGGAAAGCCTATGTGCTGAGTTTTTTATGTCAGTTTAGAGATACAAAGCAGTTATTATAGACAGTAAAATTTTATACAACACATCAGAAATTTTAAAACTATCATCATGTGATTTCGATGTCAGCTGTTTACTAACGTGCAGAAAATAAAGCAAGATTATCTTATTCTCAGGTAATCATGTAGTGTTCTAGTAACTCAGTGATAGTGAAAATAAATTTCAACTGGTTCTTGTGGTGGAAAACAGATATAATAAGATATATATATATATATATATATATATATATATATATATATATATATATATATATATATATATATACCTAGCAACAATGAAAAAGAAAACTAAAGAACAAGTTATCTTGATTTGTGTTCTTTCTACTCTCTACTCAGTAAATCCCTGCGAACTTCACTGCCGACCAGTTAGTGAGTATTTTTCTGAGAAGATGCTCGATGCGGTGACTGATGGGACCCCGTGCTTCATGAACGAGTCCAGAAACATCTGTGTCAATGGAGTGTGCAAGGTAGTGTGCCTGGGTAAGAGACATGTAGAGACTGGGAGGGTTATAGTGGAGCTGGACAATGACACATTGCAGGGCAACAACATGGAGAAAGAGGGAGAGGATTCCCTGTGGAAAAATCCACTGTTGTTTGATTTGTGTGTTTGTGTTTAGGAGGTCGGCTGCGACTTTGGTATTGACTCAAACGCAGTGGAGGATCGTTGTGGAGTGTGTCTGGGAGACGGCAGCAGCTGTGAGACAGTTTCTAAGACATATGAGGAACAGAGAGGTTTTGGTGAGTGTAGCTGCAATGACAAATAGCCTTGCAAAATTTCTCATACCTCCTGATTTTTTCCCCACATTTTTTCACTATTTTTATGTGGATTTAAAATGATAACTGAACTACAGCTGCTCTGTTTCGAAAAGTACACCCACAAAGTCTGGCAGACCCTTAAAATATACACAGAACTATAGGTGAATAATTCAACATATCCTTGTTTCACTCCTTACAAAGGAGTTTTGAAAACAATGTATGATTTTCTGTCCATTTCAGAATTAGTTCCAACCTTTTAGAAATAAAATTCATTAAAGCTTGCGATTGCAACATAGTGAAATGTACTGTGTGAACACTTTTGTTAAGCACTGTGTCCAAACATGAGAGTTCACGGAGCAGGCAGACCCCGAAGAAGGAAAAGCTGTAATAGATCAACTAAAAGAGTGTGAAAAAGCATCTGGGGTTGTGTAGTTTTTCTTTATTGCCATGGCAGCAACCCCTTCCACACACTCTGCAGCTGTTTATCAAGTTGTGCTCAGATGTGAGCATGCATGCATGTTCGTCTGCAGGCCCATTTTTGGCTAAAGTTGCACATCTTTGTCTGGTTTTACTGCACTAAGAACAAAATAACTCACCAGCTAGATCAACATACAGTGAAGACAGATTCATAGTGAAAGAGGCCCTAAAACAATAAAAAAAATCTCTCTCCCGCCCGCCTTCTTCTCTGCATTCTCTGTTTCTTTCTGTGTGTGTTTGTTGCACGTTGCATCCCTTCCAGATAACCGGCCCAGATGTGTGAGACTTCAAAAGGCTTACATCTAGGGCTAGTGCCCCCCACCTCCTTTCACAAACACACACCTTCCCACAAACATCATTAAACTGCACAGACCCACTCATTGCTGCTTTCGTCTTCCCTCAAACCACCCACCTCCCATCCCCACACAATAAAAAACAGAGACAGGGCAGTGCACCCCCCGAACCCCACCCCCACCACGCCGAATAAGCACACATTTAGTCACAGATGCCAGCAACCCCTGCAAACTGAGCCCACCCGGGTAAAACATCAGAGACAAGGTGTCTGAACGTCTGGATGTGAGTGTGGCAGCTGCCATGGTGGGCCATCCCATTACCTCAGTGCCACTCTGATTTCCCTCCTGACTCTCCCAGGGTACGTGGACGTGGGGGTGATACCTGCGGGCGCCCGAGACATTCTGGTGAGGGAAGCCGAGGAGGCCGCTAACTTCCTGGCCCTTAGAAGTGTGGAGAGAGACGAGTATTTCCTCAATGGGAACTTAATCATCCAGTGGAATGGCGAATACAAGGCAGGTGGGACAACATTCTACTACGAGCGCAGTGGAAACATGGAGAACCTCACATCACCTGGCCCAACCAAACAGCCAGTAATGCTTCAGGTAGAGTGGATGGGAGCAACTGTTTTTACAGTCCTTAAGAACTTCTAGTAAAATAGATTTTCCCTATTAAATGAAATCAAAAACATAAACCTTTAAAGATTTTAAGGATGCAAGCTTCAAAGCAGATTTCTTCATGTTTTTTTCTTTTGTTGTTTGTTTTTGTTTTGTGTCAGTTTAATACTCTGGATAATTTTAATGCTATTTAATTTCTTTTATTTTTGCTGGAGAGAAACATTCATGATCTCATCAGTTTAGCTGCTGCCCTCTTAGTAAAATATTTAGTTCGAATAATGTCTCACACTGTAATTTGGCGGAGTCTCGATAATCATTAAAATCATAAAATTACAACCCTTCATGATGGATTCCAGTGATTTTTTTTCTCATCTGTTCTTGAATTTTCTTAAATCAAGACGAGATTGGCATCTTTTTGATTTTAGCTTACTTTATAGTGCACAACAGGTTCTGTTTAGGTTACTTCTGAGTTTCCAGAATAGACATTAAACAGAGCTATGTGCAAATTTAAAGTGATATCTCCATTTAAAAAATATGTCTAATCTATGTTAATCATCATCAATATGAAAAGGGTGGGTTCGGTAAGCGTTTTCCTAATAAATGAGTCATCTTTTGAAAACTTTTTGCTTTTTCATTGGATGACCTTAACATTTAAGCAAAATCAGAAACCTGTAAGGGCCCATATTAGAGCACCAAATGTAAAAAGAAATAATAAGCAAATAAGTATTTGTATGAAGTACAATACATTGTTTTGTGTGTTTTTTGTTTTTCTTTGTAGTTACTTTTTCAGGAGGAGAATCCAGGTATCACGTTGGAGTACACCATCAAGAAGAGTAAAGTAACAGAAAATGAGGTCCCTGAACCTATTTATATCTGGAGACACGGAGCCTGGACACACTGCAGCACCACCTGTGGCCTCGGTTTGGCTTGAGATGAAACATCTTGCTTTTGTTTTGTTTAACAATAAAACTTAATGAACCAAAAATGTGTTTATTCTTAGGAGAGCAGCACCAGCCAGTGCTGTGTTTTGAGGTAGACGTGGGTGTCGTGGATGAGTCGTTGTGTGACCAGGACAGCCGGCCAGAAGACAGACACCGCAGGTGTAAGAATATGGAATGTCCTGCGAGGTTTGTAGTAACCAACATTCTTATTTTTATACTTTTGAAAAACTCAATTCACTTCTTATCTTACAATATACAATTTAGTTGAACAATGTAGATCTACTTTATCCTTACTACTTAGCAATTATAACAGGTAACAGTTTAAAGCTTTACATTGATGTAATTGTTTGAATGTTTTAACTAATGGATTCAAAACTGTTCTGAAATATTAAAAGCTTGTATTGACTTACAAACAATATCTAAGAACATTGTCATTGTGTTTATTAATGAAACACAATAACAAAATATGTAGATAAATTTATATATTTAGATCAAGTATTTAGATCAAGTATTTAGATTAACCTTGTTGTAGTTTCCACACTGGACCATTTCATTACAGGTGACTTTATTTCTTGTAAATTATAACAACATGTGATAGCGGTCCATTGAAAAACAAGAACAATAAGAAAATAAGAAATCTAGAGTTTTGAGTCTAGAAAAGTTTACAGGGGCCCTATGAAAGTAAACAATAAAACTGCTAATGATAAAATTCACAAGATCTAAGAGTTTCGAGTATCAAAATACATGATTTTATGATAGATGCTATAAATTACTTTTATAAATGCACATTAGTAGTATCCCAATATAAAGTGAAGCTTTAAAATAATACCTAACCTAAATTTAAAGCATAAGTTTCTGTTACTAACATACTAGTGCCAGGTGTTTGAAATTGTCCCTTCATTTTATTTACTAACTTGGTTTGTTTAGCTGTCTTTGTATCCAAAATGGGGCCTAAACATTGTTAACCTGGTGGTCCTTAAATTATGTTTGTTTGTAGCAGGACATTATAAACAGTATTTGTCCATCTTTATTTGCTAAAAAGACCCTTATATCTCTGTATCATTGGCTGAAATATTCTTGCTTACCTTGTTTTTCTGTCCTTCTCTTGCTCTTAGGTGGTGGGTTGGTGGTTGGCAGCAGTGTACAGAAAGCTGTGGATCAGGAGGATTGAGGAAGAGAACTGTTCTTTGTGTACGCAATGTTTCAGGAGAAGAGAGGGTACTCCACCCTGTGGAATGCAAGCATCTGCTGAAACCAAAACCTTCTTTACCATGCAACAGAGATGTTCCATGTGGGCAGGAATGGGCTTTTGGCAACTGGGAGGAGGTAAACCTTTTTTTAAGGGTAGCTTGTTTACTGCTGATAAAACAGTTTTGTTGCAAGTATTTTACCCCCTAGCCCGATGTTGTTCATAGTATCCTCTGCCTTTTAGTGCCCTGTCACATGTGGAGGAGCTGTTCGATCACGCACCGTGACATGCACATTAGCGCCTAAGATGACCTGTGACCCTTCAACCAAACCCAGGTCCAAATCACTGTGTGCTTTGCAGAGCTGCCCAAACTCAAGTCTTCACAGACGATACGGGATTCCTCCTGCGCACCGTCGTATTTACCCAAATAAAACGTATCCAACTATACATCCTAGTTCACCTTCATTAACATACATAAGCTCTACAGCTGTGCCTACATCAACCACCGAAGAAACTACAATAGCTACCACAAAATCCACTTTTAGTTCTCAAGCTACAGTTTCTGAAATTATAGACCCCAATGATCGTGAGTTTAGTGCTTTGGTGAGGAAAAATAAAGATGCAAAAAAGAAGGTTTATCCCAAAAAGTCAAGTTCAACTGATAAGAAAAGGAAAGCAAGTGTTAGAGCCAAGGAAAATATAGACCTAGAAGAGGGAAGTGCTGAGGATGGGGGGCTGTACTCCCCAGGATATGATTATATTGTGGAGGACAACACGAAAGAAGAAGAGAAGATTATTGACCTGGATTTTTTCACCACGGTTACGTCTCTAACAAGTCTTCTTCAGACAACCACACCAAAACCACAAGCACGTCCACTTACCAAACATATAACTAGAGTGCCACCCACAACTGCTTCACCATTCTTTTTTACCAGTACTGACACATGTTCAAGGACAACCCAGCACTTACCCAACATCAACACCACCTCAAATGTCAAACCATACCGCCCATGGACACAACGGGTTCCTCAAACAACTCCCATGTATAGGTATGGCTCAGTCCTCTCAAAAACTGGCTTCAAAATGAAGCAGGTTCCTAAACCAACCATGAAAAAAACATCCACCACTGCAAACGTACCTCATGTGCCATTAACTCACATGAAGAAGACCTCTGCAACAACCAAGAAAAACATTCCAACTGCTCGTGATATGAAAACCTCTTCCAGGTCCAAAGGAAGCCACTTTAAAAGCCAAAACCAGCAGCCAAGAAGTCTGCAAAGCAGTTCCATCAGTGACCGAGGCAACCTGATAACTAGAGAACCTGTTAAAATGGATACATATTGGATTGTTGGTAACTGGAGTGAGGTGTGTAGAGACATTCTCCAAACATTTTGTTTAAAATATAATAGAATGGAAAATCCCTTTATTGTCCCACAATGGGGCAATTCTAGTGTTTACAGCAGCAAAAAGGTTATAGAAAAAATGGTCCCACAAATTTGGACCTTAGAAAGATCCATCCATCCATGTTCTAACACGCTTATCCCAAGTGGGGTCACGAGGGGTGCTGGTGCCTATCTCCAACAGTAATTGGACAAGAGTCGGGGTATACCCTGGACAGGTCGCCAGTCCATTGCAGGGCAAAAAGTGACAAACCATTCACACCTAAGGGGACTGCAGAGAAGCCAATTAACCTAACAGTCATGTTTTTGGACTGTGGGAGGAAGCTGAAGTACCCAGAGAGAACCCACACATGCTCAGGGAGAACATGCAAACTCTATGCAGAAAGACCCTGGGCTGGGAATCAAACCCAGAACCTTCTTGCTGCAAGGCAGCAGTGCTACCCACTGCGGCACTGAGCAGCCACCTTAGAAGAATAACAAAGTAGTGAATAATTAAAAGATAAACAATAAAATACTGTACTGTAAAGTATTTTAACAATATAAAACTGCACCTGGAGAATAAATATACAGTATACAGCTATGGCCATACATTACTGGCCATATCTACAGTAATGGATATTTGAAAATAGCAGCAACATCAGAGATGTGCAAAATGACAGCAGCAGGTTATTTAACCAACTGTGCAAAATCAGCATAAATGTAACAACTTATTGAAGTTCTTGGGAAAAATGGTTGTTAAGGGTCTTACACCTGCTGGGAGGAAGGATGTGTGATTACGCTCACTGGTGTATTTAAGGTGCAGCAGTCTGTCACTGATGGAGCTCTCCAGTTCTGCAACAGCTTCATGCATGGGGTGGGAGACATTATCCAACAGAGATTTTAATTTACTTAGGATCCTTTTGTTTCCCACCTCTAGCACTGAGTCCAGAGGGCATCCAATCACAGAGCTGGCGTCTCTGATCAGCTTATCCAACCGCTTTCTCTCAGCTAAAGATAAGCCACTGCTCCACCAGACAGCTCCATAGAAAATGGATGATGCCACAAAAGAGTAAAGAGAAAGAGAAAGTTAGCCTATTTATATCAGAGAAGTTTCACTCCAGTTACACTGGAGCATAAATTAGTCTAAAATCTAAATCGTTGGAATATTTAGTTACTCCCCTTGTCTCCCCAGATAGTTGAAAATATACTGTGAATATTCAGTTTAAATTAACCAAAAAATTGAAATGTGGATATTTTAAATCTGGGATTATTAAAGATAATGTTGTCGTTAGGGGAGAGGCAAGATACAACCAGAATATGTTGAAAATCTATTGTAGAGACGCACATGACAAACAACCAAGCCATAAAATCCCATTATAATCACACTAGGGCTGCAACTAACGATTATTTTGCAAATTGATTAATCTGTAGATTTTTTCATTTAATCAATTAATGATCATCTCTTTAAAGAAGATTTTTTAATTAAATCTAACCAAGTGAAACTTAAAGTTTTTTTTATGTTAAATGCAAAATGTTTATATATTTCTTAACAATTTTTTCAATAATTACTTCTTAACAATAATTACTGCTCTAAGTGGGTCTCCAGTTAACAATTAATTGATTACTAAATTAGTTGACAAATATTTCAATAATCGATTCATCATGATTAATCCGATTAATTATTTCAGCGCTAAATCACACTTATGATGTCTTTGAATGAGAATATGCAGATTCTACTGAAAAGGACCATTGGTCAAGATTAGAACTTAGGACCTTCTTGCTGCTGCAAACAACTGTGCCACAATTCATCCCAGTGATGCATGGTGCCTATGATGCTTATGATAGAAAAAGAAAATATCAGTCATCAATATATAGTCCTGTGTTAAATGAAAATCAGAGCAGAAATTGATTCAATAATAAATTGTGAAAGCACAAGCATAAGACCCAAAATATATATGTAATTGTAAAGCAAAACTGATATGGAACCAATCCTATAGTAATAAATTTCAGACTAAACATTTGTTAGTAGCCCACATCAACAAATGGCAGCATCTTGGTTACATTTACTGTTATTTAGTTTGTTTTTTTGTCTTTCACAAGCTAAAAAATAAAAAGAAGCCTGTCCTAAGATTTAATGTGGCCCACAGACATGTTTTATGACTGTTTTACTTCCCAGAAACACAGACCTAAAGTGTAATGCTGTTATGTTACTTTAAGCAACAAAATTTAATTTTAAACTTACATTAATTTATGGTCAGTGTTCAACAACGTGTGGACTTGGAGCTGTATGGAGAACAGTGGTGTGTAGTTCAGAGAAGGACGAGGACTGCGCCAACATGAAGAGACCGGAGCCTGCACGAACATGCCGCCTGCAACCATGCGCTACCTGGAAAACTGGCAGCTGGAGCAAGGTCAGCAACTTAAAAAGTCCAGCAAATTTAAGGCATACAGAGTATGTATTTTAAGGCATACAGAGTATGTATTACTTGCCCTTAATAGTAAATTACAATAATCAGTGATTAGATATTATGTGTCACTGAAGTAGAATAAAAAGATAAATTCTTGGTTCTCTGTTATATCATTTGTTTGGGACATTTATTGGATTGACATGTTCCTTACAGTGTCCAGAAAACTGTGGGTTGGTTAGAAGGAGGCATCGTGATGTCCAGTGTGTGGATTCTCAGAGCAAGCGTCCACTCAGACCTTTCCACTGTCAGACTGTGTCCAGCAGACCTTTAAGCTCCCTGGTTTGCCCCCACAAGCCGTGTATGAACTGGACCGTGTCACCTTGGGGGCTGGTAGGACAACCATACATTAAAATCCTCAATTTACTTGTTAAACTTAAGGCACATTTTCTAATCCACAGATCCTAGAAGACTGAAAATATTTTGGTGTTAAATGTCCATCCCAAATTCATTTTCTTCTTCATTAATTCTTAGTTAATGCATAAAGTCACTCTATTTATTTATTTATTTATTTATTTTTTACTTTAATACTCCTTGAACTGTTTGGCACTTATGATTTATAATTTGTCTTTTATAATGATTAACTATTAGGTTAGAATAATTATAAAATATAATCAGAGTTACTCTCTGAGGGCTTCAAACTTTGTTAGAGAACATAGGAGAAGAACAAGCAGCATCATTAAAACCACGGAGAAAAGCAGATAAGTCAGGAAAGGTTTTGATTCTTGTAAATATATTTTAATGAAAAAGTTATAAAGCAATAAATCCCAATCCTTGGACATCTGTCAGATGATTGTTTAATTTGTCATCTGATAATGGAGAAAGTATGGACTAGTTTACAGACGTACTAAAACATGACCTCCTGCCTAACTGGACTGATTTATCAAGGAGAGCGTAACTTCAAGAAGCAACCAAGAGGCAGTTTGTTTTCCATAACTCAGGTGGAAGAATCTATCAATAAATAGCATTTACAGAAGAGAAAGCCTTAAGAAGTCCCATTAGGACTCAGAAAACAACATTTTGGGAGCCTGTCTGTGAAAATGTCCACAGCTGTATATTGATTATTTATTCTCCAGATGCATAGTATTTATATTTTAAAGAGCCTTGTATAGTACAGTATTTCATTTATTTAACTCTCTCACTTGTTCTGTTATTTTTAAGGTCCACATTTGTGTTACCACTTTTGCTATAATATTTTGTTGCTGTAACACCACAATTTCCACAGTGTGGGACAATAAAATATTTTATAATTTTCTATTCTATTTTATTCAGCAGAGACAGACAGGCTGAGCAGAGCTAATGGGAGGATAGAAAGAGCTATAATATAAACAAGAAAACCTGAGGCAGCAAAAACTGGAGTTTGGGGCTGAGTTCAACATCTCAGAAGTACAACCCAAAGAATAGATAGTCAAGGCTACAAAACAAAGGTTTAGATAGAAGCACATCCATTGTGTCAAAACTTGTAACAAACTGTATATGAGCAAAGAAGGTGTTCTGGTAAACCTGAAATATTAAATAAAGCAGATGTAACTTAAGAAAAGCTTTGTTACTAACAGTGCTCTGGTAGCTGTGGTGAAGGCATCAGAGAGCGACTGGTGTCCTGCCCAGAACCTCATCGCTGCAGCTCCACTTTAAGGCCGAACAGTACAGAACAGTGCAGTTTAAAGCCCTGCGCACGTTGGAAAACTGAGGACTGGGAGGAGGTCGGTTTTACTCTACCTACCTTTATGTATATATAGGTCATATATTATAGATATTTAAATGTTTCCAATTTGTCACTCTTATTTCTAGTGTTCTGTGAGCTGTGGTGAGGGTCAACAGCAGCGTGCTGTCAGTTGTGTGGGAGAAAAGGATTCGGCTGTTGTGCCAAACCGCCTCTGTGCGAAGATTTCAAAACCAGAAACACTCAGGAAATGCAACGTACAGGAATGCAAGAAAAGCTCAGGTCTGTAGGCAGCAGTCTGTGTTTGTGCTTCTCTGGTGGGAAAAGTAGTTAATCTGAAAAGCAGACTCTGTGCCAACACACGTGCATGCAAACATACACATCCTGACCTTCCAATGTGAACCTCACACACATCAAATTTAGTTTATTTTGGCAGGCTTTGTTTTTAACGTTAAGCTTCACTTCTAACATTTTCTGTACCAGTGTATGTTCAGTCAGCCATGCCGTTTACTAATAAAGCAAGATGAGTTGAAATTAAAGTTTGTTTTCAGGTGAAGACAAGGAAAAGATATGATAACAAATAATATACATATAAATAATATATTCTGTCAGTAAATCAGTAAAATTATTACATACTGTATTTTTAAAAATACAGTCTTATACAAATATATATGCATTTATTCAAATTAGTTTACCAGTTAGAGAGACTTTGGCAGGTGCAGTTTATTGCAGTTTCTCACCGTTTCATACTGTAACAATTTTGGGGTTTTTCTTTTATCATGAATGGACTATTACAAGGATTTAATTACCATTCAGAGATCGGGTTGCTTGTTTGCTTCGGATATCCTTGCTACTTTTTAGCTCAAAGTCTGATAGTCAGTCCCAAGGCAACCCTGAACCCCCAGCATACCTATAAAAAAGGTTTCAGTTTTTTTCTCATCAAGTCACAGAATATTTTCCAAAAAAGATTTATTTAGCAATGGGACATGTATTCAGGCTATCATTGCTTGATATTCAAATTTGTTTGCTCTGACAAACTGCAGTATGACAGAAAATGTAACCCTTTAAAGCCTGATCCAAGAATAAAACAAAACAGAAAATTACCTTTTTTTTGGTTTGAAGTCCTTATTTGCCCTTTTAACAAAATATGTAAAAAGAAAAAACAGAAATACATTTTTGATATTAATAATTTATTACTTACAATTATTTATTACTATTGTGTAGTCTTCTACTGGCTGTTATCAGGTATATCTGATTGTGTACAATAGGATTTTGAGCAAAGTTTTTACCATTAAATTATGCAAAAGGTGTCAGACGCAATACATTTCAGAAACCGTATGTATCAAATACGATACATTTGGCATTATAGGGTTAAATGAGGAGAAATCTGTAAGGTGGAAAATGCAACAAAACAATTTTAATTGTAACTTAATTAAACAACAGTTTTTTCTGTTTTGCTATGTAAAACTTTGCTACTAAAATAAAAATCCTCAGCACCCAATGTCATGGGCCAAAAGGTTTAAAACTTAAAAAAAAGTTGTTGAGGACAGAGATTTTGGACAACTATGTTTCTTATCAATAAGAAACATAGTTGGCTGTTCAAAATACATTTTCAGTTGACTCTCTAAATCGTATTAAAATAATTTATGCATGCATTTAAATGGTTAATAATGATTTCCAAAATCAGTTTTGAAATGAATTGGAAACACCTAACAGCTAAATCTTATTGATCTAACGATTTTGCAGTTCTATTTTTAATTTTGTATCTACAGTAGATAAATGTGTAAATGCATTGGATTTCAAGTTGTGTTTTGGTCTCTTATCTGTTCAGTTTGCAGAAAAAACACCATGTCCTCCCGCTTCTGTGACAAGCTGAAGCTGTTGGGTCGCTGTGTGCTAAGGTCGGTCCAAAAACAGTGCTGCTTTACCTGCAGAGTGACACCAAGACTGGAATCATCATGACTGATAATAGTCCAACCCAACAGCCATCCACAGACGCAGAAACCAAAGTTCTAATAAAATCTTTAGCAAGTCAAACTAAATCATTGCAAACAGGGATGCTTCAGTGATGTTTCAGAGGTCAACTGCATTTCTCTTGTTGCTTCCTTCATGTGTTTGGTATTTGTTTATCTGCTTTAGTATATTGTTGGATCATAACTAGATAATATAAAAGGTCAAAACACTCACAGAGTATAATAGATGTACCTGACCATGACAGACATTTTAGTATCAAGGCAATTTATGATAAAAAGCTAAATAAACACTATTGGGAAAGTACACAGCAGTGGCATGAAGGTAATTAGATAACTAATAAACACAACAAAAAAATAGCAAAAATGAATACATAAAAAAAGATATAAAAAATTATAAAATGAATAATTATAAAAAAATTAAAAGTTGGTTTGCAAACATAAATGCCTCTTCAGTCTGCCAACAACACTTCCTCATGCTGTTTTCACCTTAGTTGAACAACTGCTATCCACTACATTTTCACTTAAAGGTATAGTGGAGGATTTTTGCTAATTTTTGAAAAAATATGCACATGCACAACCCTGTACCTGCTCCTGAAAGGGAACACCTATTAGACGCGTGTGAGAGTATGCATGAGCCCATTTATCCTCGGTTATAAAGTTGCTGTTTGCATCGCTCATACAAGCTTACTTTCCAAAAGAAGATTTGCAATTTTTCCACTCTCTCAAACTCACCGCCGGTAAATGGGGACGAGCACGTAGGACGGCCTTACGTAAAAATATCACCAGAATGATTGACAATTAGGCAAACCACTTATTTTGATGATTCACCCGGAAAAAGGACATCCTCCACTAAACCTTTATCCTGCTGGATTATACCCTACATAAGTAGAAATCAAAAAGAAAACCAGAACTGAATGGAAAAAACAAAGAGATATCTTAACACAGTAGTACCGTAATGCCATTTTGAGTGTCTGTTAACCCTGAGATGTAAAACATCAATGCTCAAAAATCAGCAGCTTTCTAATTAATGTATTTCCTTTTGCTTCTTCTTCTCCTCATGATCAGGCTCTGATTTTCTACATCACCGTCTAACATAAATTATATCACAGTGTGGTCAAGCACACAGTAGAGGGGGTATGAGGTATTAATCAGGGCCTGGTTTTCACGCCATGGCTTTCTAGAATTTTGACAACGGGCATAATTTCTACACAGTTACATTTACTTTTGTTGTATTCCTGGGAAAAGGGGGGCTTGCTTTTAGCAGCCAGCTGAGCAGCTGAAACCTACATTACTTTATTCTCAACAGAGACGGAAACAAAATGTGGTTACTCTAGCCTTTAAAAAAAGGACTTTAAACAGCAGGAACAACATTTTGAGTGATAAACTACATTTTCATAACCTTCTAAGCCAGCCATGCCTGATTATGTCCCACCAGATGTAATTTCTGGGTCAAAAATCCTTTCCAGTTTAAAAAGGTGCTCAGATTATGCTGCTCATAAATCAAGGCTAAGCATTTATACTTGTCAAAATGAACTGCGGAGAGACTATGCATACAGATTTTCTGTTATTTAAAGCATTTTGGATGGACTGTTTCAATATTTTTCTAAAACTTGTTGAGTAGTTTTTTTTTTGTTTTTTTCAGAGTGAGCACTGTTTACTTACAGTTTGATGTAGAGCTTTCTTTTTTTACTGTTGTTTAAAATTGTTAAATTAGCTGCAGAATGTTGTGCTCTTTTAAAAATAAGGAAGAGGTGTTGCAGGTCATCCCTCCTCAGGTCACTTTTAAAACCCACTTGTATTTGAAGTTGTCTACCATTTCGTACATCTTTGATCTTTTCCCTGACTCCTCATGGTATTTTCCACTATAACTCTAAAGTGGAGGAGGCTTGGATAAACATGAGGAGTAGGCAGTGGAGATGACTAGTAAAAGAGGGAGATGGAAATGAGGAAATGGATGTCAAGGTATGTCATCTTTGGTGATATGCTGAAATGCCAAAAGTATTTGCTTGTCTGCTTTCACAGAAAAATAAACACATTTGAGTAGCATCCCATGCTAAGTCAATTATGCCAGCGACAACAGCTTCAACATCTCTGGAAAAGCTTTCAGTGATGTCAGGGTGCATGTTTTGGGGAGTTTTTTACCATACTCTCATTATCAAGGCCAGGCTGCTTTAACCCAAAGTAATGAGGTGGAACTCTCCTGCAGGTAGTACTATACAGTCTTTTTTTATGTTTTGTCTGGTTAAGATCTGTTTGATTTGTAGGTCATCCCTTTAGACTTAGACTAGACTTAGACAACTTTTATTGTCATTTTGTATACACAGAGTATATACAAAACAAAATTTTGTTTTGTACAGCTTGCAGACAGTAAATTAGCAGCAGATTAGCAGTGAAATTAAGATTTCCATTTCATATAGTGTAGCAGCGATTGAATGTAAACAGCTTGGGAGAAAAACATGGTGCGAAACGCATTGATATGGAAGTCCAGAGCAGTGCAAAGACAAATATATATGGTGCAAAAATGTTGTGGTGCAAAAATGCAAAAAACATTTTTTGAGTTGAGTTCCATTTGGTTTGGTGTTATCAGTGTGATGAAGAGTCCATTTGTTACTTGCTTTAGAGTTTTTTTCAACCGTGCAGCAGTCTGATGGCAATGGGGCAAAAGCTTTTGCAGAATCTGCTGGACCTTCAGCAGATGCTGCGAAGGCTCTTCCCAGAGAGCAGCAAGGAGAACAGTCCATTGGTGGTTTGAAGGGTCACTGATGATGTTACTGGCTCGGGATCCTTATTGTCCCAAAATCAGGAAATTTGTCTTCTGTGTTCAACCTTCCCTTTAGGGAACAGTTTGCTTCCACCCTGAGTAGCTTTTGGTGGAGCGATCTTGCTCAGGGATCCAGACTGACAGTTATAGTTTTGAATCAGCAATCTTACTGCCTCTACAGGCTGCAAACACACTGCTGTCCAGCCACAAGGCCATTACTTCTCATATTTACTGTAGTTGGTGGGAAATTTCACAACTGTTCCAATTGCACAGGTAGAATCTGTTCACTATACTAAAGGAATTCATCAAACGGCCTAGAACGACAGATTCTTTCGCAAATATTTGTAGGTTGAATAAGTGCTGGATTTTATACACCTGGAACATTAACGATTTGGATCGATAGGCAAATACTTTTGGCAATAGGGTGTGTGTGTTTTGACTTCATCGTTGTAAATGTGATCAAAATAAGGTTTGATGTTCAACTCTTTTGGAAAAGATACATCAAATAAACTTTTGTTGAAGAATTTTGATTGTGCCTTTGTTGATTTCAGTTTGTTCAACCAAAGATTTTTATTTAATATGCTATTAAATTTAAGTTTTACATATTCATACAAGTATCCATCTGCAAAATTTTCATCTGAGATGTTTACTCTGTGATTTTATTATTTAGCATATATTTTTATTTGTAAAGCTGCTAATACCTGAGGGTGCTGGCATGCCGCTGCTGCATGAGTAACACCTGAATCAGCAGCTCTGTTTCAGGGATCGTGTTCTGCTGGCCCAGATTCTCCAGGCTTCGTCTGAGCCAGATTATTTGACACAAAAGGACCTTGCTCCACTCCACGCTCTGTGCTTCTGTCATTCAAACCAGAGACCAAGAGTTAGTCAGCACTAATGGAAGGAGTAACATGATACTGGGTCAAAGGGGAGCCACTGGTGTGTGTGCAGGATGTGTCTGCATGATGTCATGATGAAGCAGCCACCGTCCAGCTGAATTACCCTTACCTACATCTTTAATTGTGTTTCATTAAGCAAGGACACTGAATGACAATGTTTTCCTAAATGAAAAGGTTTTGTTTTTTTAAACTTAGATTGTACATTTCACTCAAATTAATGTATTTGTCTGGCTGAGTCTGAGCCTTTTTATAAGAAACAACTGTTAGCTTGTTCTCTACAAGCCCCTAAATGGTCATAAAAATACTCTTTAAAGCTGGGGCAGAGCAAGTTCGGCACTCTGAAGCGAAGACTGTTTTGGTTTTTGAAATATACTTCACTAATGTGTATCTTATTAAATGTGGAGTTTTCAGAACCAGTCCCTGCATGTTGCCCTTTTAAAGCTTTAAACATTAAACAGGAAAACAAACTGCACAATTATTCTAGATGCAGAGTTTCCTACTGGAGCTGTTAAGGCAATTCAATTTAACTATAATTTGCTGTGATGGGTAATAAGAAAAATTCAACAATGCAGGGATTTTGTTTTTGTTTTCTGGCTGATACCCTAACCCAGGACTGCAACCAATTAAGGAAAAAATGCCCAGGTTTATTTCTATAGATTTTATCCTACCATTAGATAAAACTGAATACCACTGTTGCTATTCCTTTTTGTCTTTCATCAACCATGCTTAGCTCCAAGAAATTCTATGTACTTTACAATTTCTATGTTCTCTGCTTGGCTTTAGGGGCTTTGCAGGCAAGGATAAAGCTATTAAGAAAAGAGGTTCTTTTGCGATGTGAAGGCTCAAACTTTCCTCTGAGAGTCTGACAAATGCCTTGGTCATCTCCTTCAAAGGTTTACAAGAAAGGAGTTTTGCACCGTAGAGAGGTAGCATTACTGTTTTAAAAGTGAGGCAAAGATTGTTAGATGATGTTGTGGTGTAAACTAAAGAAGCTACTTATCTCCAATAATAACATTATGGACAGATGTCTTTACCATGTGTTATTTGGACAGTAAAATGCTGGAGAGTTGTTTTATTCTCGGAAAAAGCCCCCCTCTGTCTGTTTTGGTTGTCTGGTAAAAGCAAAGTTGGCAAAAAAAAAAAAAGATTCTACAACAGGTTTGTCATATCAAAATCAAATTATCCCAAGTCTATATCCTTCAGCCTACAATGACAACTTTGCTTAACATTCCTGAAATATTCTGGTGATTTTTCCATGGATAGTAAAGCACTGTGTCACAAGACAGAAGTCATCTCAGCATTTGGCCCTGAAACGATTTTCTTAAGCGTCAATGCATACTGCAGATCTATTGAGGAGCAGGATTAAAATCATAACTGTTTAATTAAAGTTGATGTATGTCTCAAGAATATTTTTGTAAAGTAATTGAAATTTTCTTTTAAAGAATAAGTTAGACATGTATTCAACCAAAGTTAGACTTAGAGTTGCTAAGTTTTTGATTTTTGAAGTAATGCATAAAAATGCATCTTCTGGCTATTAATGAAGCATGTTTTAATTGACATAATTTTTAAGGTTTTGCATTTTTTTGTTCTCTTTAAGTTTTCTTTTGGAGTCTTCATTGGTTTCCTTTCTATTTTGTGTTGTTTTCTGGCTGTATTTGAGTTTGTATATATTTCTTGTTTACCCTCTGTTGCCCTCTTGTGTCAGTCTCCTTTCCCCTAGCTCCCTTCTATGTTCTTCTGTCCACACCTGCTCCCAATCATCTGATCACCCCAGTATTTGTTCTGTTTGGCATATATGCTCCTGTTAAGTTTTTGGTTTTCTGTATACTTTTGCTTCAGTTTTCACCTTTTGGTCATTAAATTTGCAAGAAATCACTTCAACTTCCTTCTTTGCATTTGGGTCCTCTTCAAACCTCCACACAACCTGACAATAATATTTTATTATATGCAGTCTATGCAAAATAACAAAGAACATTTCTGTTCAAATTATTTTAGGGATAATTATTTATTTATCTTTACATTTCCTGCCTACTTTCAGTTAATTCGGGGAGTAAAATATTTGTTTTCTTTTTGGTTTTCTAATTTTTCATTTTGCACAAGCTCTACACTAGCAAATACCAAATGTTTTGCTGCTGTATGGATTCTAACACCTTAGTGATAACTCAGGCAACATCAGTTATTTTAAAGCATTGCAGGATTTCTGTCCATGCTCACAGATTAGGGGAAGAAAGTAATTGCAAAATCTCCTACATACTCATCTCAATATTGTGCCGAGCATGACTGTTGATCCAGTGTTTGATCTGTAAGTAAATTCTTCAGCTGTTCTGAAACTGACACTCTGCAATGAGGGGTGATTCAAGTTCCTTTTCAGGTTGGGAAAGATAACATGACTAAGGGTCGAGTGATCCTCGTAAAGCAGGATGCAGCAACCTCATCTTTTACGGTTACCAGACACCAACAATGCAACAGCCAAGAACACATGAAATATTTATGAATGATGTGCAGGAGAAAAACAAGGCTTCAGGTTTAACTGAAGCCTATATTATTCCCTGAACATATGTAGTAATAGTTTTTTTAGATATCCATTAAATGTCCATGATTTTTTTTGTTTTCTCTTTTTTTACGATGCAGATCCCAGCATAAAAGCAGATTTGTTCAAGGAAGATAGCGGTGAAAGCTCATCCCTGAATCAACTGGCAGTGTTTTGGAGCAACATGTCAGGTCTGGTGGCTCTCATCTGGACTCCATCAGGTTTTGTGTCCCCAGGCGGGCAGACTGGCATCCCTGTACCAGGGATTTTTCGTTATTAGTGACCCAGCACACACAGATCGGGCCCCAGGGAACTCACAGAGACACACACATGGTTCCCATAGGTCAGTTTGGTTGTTTGTCTGGTTTTGCGTTTGATTCGCTCATAGACCACATATGGATTTAAGTTTAAGTGTCCTAGAGTGAGGTGCTTTTCTCTCTGTACAACATCTGCTTAATGATAGTGTACCAAAAGAGAGGGGCCAATAAACTCACAATGATGGTAAGTAAAATCAGAGACACGTGAGAAAGCTTAATAAACATATGCAGTTAAATTGATAATGTGGTATGGCAAAGAAGGCAGAGAGAAATGAGATTTTTTGCTGAAACTGACCATTTTAGCTCATACAAAGAAATCCTCCTTTCTGTCATCCTTATAATAGATAGAAAACTGAACCAATGTGACTGTTTGATCTGATCGAATTGTCTCTGTAAAGTGCCTTGAGATGACATTTGGCTTGAACTGGTGTTATATAAATAAACTGAATTGTAATTAAATATTTTGCTCACCCAAAAAAGTAAAAAAAAAACAATCCACTTGACTTTGTTAAAGTTTGAAGATGTTTCACATCCAATCTAGGAAGCTTTTTCAATTCAAAATGTCAGAAAAAGCGTTGAGATCAAGGCTTTGTAGAGCCTTGTTTTGGCTTAGAAAACATGCAAATTGAACCGGTTCAATCAGCAAAATATTTCTACTGGAGTCCATTGGAGTGTTCAGACTGATGTGAAGTATTTGATTTCCTGATATTTATAATTTTGCATTTAGGTCTTAATGTCATATTTTGGTCTCATGTAACCAGGACACTTCTAGCACGTTTCCTGTATCCTCTAGGCAGCTTCAGGAAACATGCAGATCCTGCTACTTAGAGCATTACTTTACAAGAAATGCTCTCTTGCTGCTGCTCTTCCATGAAAGCCAAATTTGTGTACATGTAAAACTACCAGATTCTCCCACCTAACCTGTGCATCCCTGCAGCTCTTTCAGAGTTGCTGAGGGCCTCTGGGCTGAATGTCACTTTAGGTGAAAAGCCATGTCCTGGTGAAATTGCATATGTATCACATGCTAAGAAGTGTTGGAGGAAGAATTTTATATCCAAGCAATGTTTAACAACAGGATCTTGTTTAAGAATCTTTTAGAATCTTTTCTAGTCTTTTTTAACTGTAATATGCAATTACCTTCCACTGCACTTTAATTTAGATAGCTTCTGCCCAAACTTTATTTATTCATTTTATAGAAAAATCCATCTGTATATTATAATATTGTACATAACTGTAAATGTAGTAATATCCACCTGTATATTATATTCAGTACATATCCTGCTGTAAATTTAGTTCATAACACTAGTTATCTATATATTATATTCATAGAACAAATCTATTAGTAAGATTCCATTATAATGGTATTCATCTCTATATTTATTTAGTAGAAACCCATGTCCTGTATTTATGGAACCATTATTTATCCTGCACTTGCTGCTAATGCACTTCTGGTTAAACCTAAACTGCATTTTGTTGCCTTGTACCTGTACCTGTGTAATGACAATAAAGTTGAATCTAATCTAATCAATGTCTCCACAACTTTCTCCCTGACCTGCCCATTGTGTTCTTTGATCTTTGTGATATTGTTTTTTTTACACTAATGTTCTATAAATACTCCTGAGATCCTCATAGGGTAGCTGTAATAAATTACACACATGTGGACTCTGTCTGCTTATTATGGGACTGTGGAAGTCAGGGAGTTGCACTGGACCATTTAAGGGTAATAGTACTTTGGAATGGGCTACAGGTTGGAGCAGTTTGTGGCACTCTTGCCTTGCAGAAAGAAGGTCCTGGGTTGGATTCCTGACCTACATTTTTTCTCCATCAAGTTTGCATGTACCTCCTATGCTTGTTGGATTTATAAAGGTTTGTTGGTGATTAAATTGCTCATGGTGTGTGCATGGTTGTATGTCTTCCTCTTGGATAGACTGGCAG